GGTACGAGGAGCTCCAGAGCAGCTGCTAGCACTGACCCCACTCCACCGGGCAGCCCTGGCAGAGAGGGCACTACAAAACTTGGTAAGAGTCCACTATACCAAACTCAGAGTTGCCTCCTGGGCAATTCTTACCCCTCGGATAATGCTCTTTGTCTTCTAGGCCCAATCCCACACTTTTGCTGCCAAACAGGTTCTTGTCTACAAGGTCCTAGCCCCTAGATCTTCCTCTGGGTTCTATTCCTTGATAAGCTCCTTCATGTTTCTTGTCCACATCCCTTGGAGTCCAAGAAATCCCTTGGATTCCACTTCCCAGTCTTTCTGCCTGCTGCTATCTGGACTCATTGTTTAAGAAAGTGAACAGTGGTAGTGGGCATCATAGGGTCTTGAGTTGGGAGCTGGAGGGAGGGAAGGTCAAAGGTCTTGGTGTCTTGATCAAAGAGTCTGGTCTCCTGCATTGTCCCAAGGCCTGATGCCCCTCTCCAGGCTCCAAAGGAGACAACAGTCTCAAGGGAAGTGCTGGAGACATTGGGCCCCTTGATTGGATTCCTGGGGATAGAGAGCACCCGACGGGTCCCCCTACAGATCCTGCTGGCCCATCTCAGTCAGCTGCAGGGCTTCTGCCTAGGAGAGCCATTTGCCACAGAGCTGGGATGGCTGCTGTCACAGGAGCCTGTTCTTGGGTATGGCCCTTTGGGAACTTCAGATTCTACCTTACCCTATACCCATCCTCTCAACCACCATCATCAGTGGCAGCCCATTCAATATGCTTGAAGTCCCTTGGAGCCCTGAGTCCCCAGTCCTAGTGTGTCCTCTTTTCCCCTTCCTTTTCCTCACAGTTCCCTCAGCATCTCAGCCCCTGATCTCCTTCCTGTCCCCCAGGAAACCAGAGTTGTGGAGCCAGGATGAAGTAGAGCAAGCTGGACGCCTAGTATTCACTCTACCTACTGAGGCTATTTCCTTGATCCCCAGGGTGAGGTGAAGGAACAGGGAGGGAGTAAGAGCAGAGAGGGGACTGCTGAGCTGGTTCTGGGGAGCTAAGGCCAAGGAGGTTGAGGGCAAAGGAGGTGAAGCCTGAATCTGAGAGAGACTGCTAAAAAGAGACAAGACTTTGGAATTACAGCTGCAGCAGCTGGCCCTGACCTGCCCAAGTCTCCCCACCCTCCCTTTACCTTCTCACATAGGAGGCCTTGGGCCCAGAGACCCTGGAGCGGCTCCTAGAGAAGCAGCAGAGCTGGGAGCAGAGCAGAGTCGGACAGCTGTGTGGGGGGCCACAGCTCGCTTCCAAGAAAGCAGCCCTGGTAGCTGGGGTTGTGCGGCCTGCTGCAGAGGATCTCCCAGGTGAAACTACCTAAATACTCATACATCTAGCATGATGTAAAGGAGAGAGTATCCAACAATGAAGTCAGAAAGTCTGGGCTCTAGGTGTGTTGTGTCCTTTGAGCAGATTTGCACACCTTCTGCTCTCTGGGCTTGGGTTTTCTAATCTATATAGCACAGGGATTAGAGGGACCCCTGTCAAGAGACCTTATCAAGGTCTCTTCTAGTTCTAGGGTTCTACGGCTCTTGGAATTTATAACCTCTTACATTTTTAGCCTAGGACTCCTCTTTTCCTGCTTTCTTATCCCTGTTAACAGTTGACAGCTCTAGGCTTGGCTAAGTGTGCAGCTGTCTGCTGGGAAGATGCTTAGGATGTAGGAAGGAGACACTGTGGGGCTAGGGACCTGGCTTCTAATCTAGCTTGTCATCAAATCCCTGGGTAACTCCCTCAGTCTTCCATCTATACAATAAGGGACTTGTCCTCTCCAGTCACTTGTTCTCATATCCTTCGAGTCCTAGAAATCTCACACTGTAGTGATTCCTTGACCCATTCTTCCCACATTTCCCTGTCTTCCAAAGGTTGGAGGGGTTACTGCATCTATATGTAATATATATTATATCTATATATACATCTATGCTCTCTGGGCATATTTTAATGCAACACTGACCCCCTGCCCCTGCCTTTCCCCTTCAGAACCTGTGCCAAATTGTGCAGACATACGAGGGACATTCCCAGCAGCCTGGTCTGCAACCCAGATTGCAGGGATGGAGCTATCAGACTTTGAGGACTGCTTGGCACTATTTGCAGGAGACCCAGGACTTGGGCCTGAGAAACTACAGGCAGCGATGGGCAAGGCAAAACAGGTTAGGCATGAAGAGGCCAATTGGGGTTGGAGGTGGAAAAACACGAGGAAGCTGGTTGGGTGGTGTGAGACACAAGGGAATGGATAGCTGGGTTATAGGTGGGGGAAATAGGAGATAAAAGAATTAGGGGGTTTGGATCCAGAGGAGGAAGTCAGAGGGGATGAATATTGAGGAAAGGAAGCTGGTGCAATGAGTAGAGGGCCTAGAGCAGTAGGCACTAAACTTTAGTGTGTATCAAAATCATCTGGGGAGCAGGTTTTTAAAATGCTGATGCCAGGGTCCCATGCTAGACTCACTGAAGAAGAATCTCTGAGGATGAGGTCTGGGCATCTGCATTTTAACAGGCACCCCTGTTAAGTGAGTGAGTCTGGTGCTCATAAAAGTTTAGAACTCGTAGGCTAGAGTCTGCTGTTCTTCCCTCTTGAGACTCTAGAGTCTTTCAAAAACACCTTAGTCAGAGGAACCTTAGTCCAACTCTCATTTTACAGTTGGAGAAACTAAAGACCCAGAGAAGGCGAGTGATTTGCCTACAGTTATGCAGCTAAGGTCAGAGGCAAGACTAAGACCCAGCATTCTGACTCCTAGTCCAGTGCTTTTTCCATTCACATTGTTCCTCTCTTTCTCCTAGTTGTGGGGCCCTCCCCGGGGATTCCGTCCTGAGCAGATCCTGCAGCTGGATCGGCTCTTAAGAGGTCTAGGAGAGCGGGAACTTCAGGAGCTGATCTTGGTGGACTGGGGAGTGCTGAGCACCCTGGGGCAGATAGATGGCTGGAGCTCCGTCCAGGTAACACCTTATCTCCTCCCTACCACCTTCCAATCATCCATCCCACATATCCAGGCCTCTGGCCATCTAAAGCCCAAGGAATTTTCTCTTGTGACCCTGCCTGCCTATTCTTTCTATCTTTTCTTAATACCCCAGACTAGCGGCCTTAGGAACTCTGATTTATTCACTCTGAGGCCCTGGACACATCATACTCCCTCCTGTCTCTTTTCCCTGAGGCTTCTTCTTTTTCTGTCCTTCTCTTTTTGGGATCCTCAGCTTACCCCATGGCTATTGGATCTTCAGGTCTATAATAATAAAACAATATAATCCAGTCACTTGTCACTTCCTCATCCATGAATTCAACCATGACTTCTCTCTTTATCCTGTGCTTCTCTCTTTATCACTGTCACCCCAGCTCCGAGTTGTGGTCTCCAGTTTCCTGCGGCAGAGTGGCCGGCATGTGAGCCACCTGGACTTCCTTCACCTGACTGCACTGGGTTACACACTCTGTGGACTGCGACCAGAGGAGCTACAGCATATCAGCAGTTGGGAGTTTAGGTCACCTGTGGAGGGGTTGTGTGGGTGGTGGTGCTGAGGTAAAGGTGGGCTCACTGGGGAGGGAAGGTTCATGAAGGAGTGGTCCCACAGAGGAAAGAACCCCACTTGAAGTCATCTCTACCCCTGTATCATGACCACAGACCCTGTCACCGTGGTTGAATCCTTCTCCCTTCCTTCCCACTCTTCCACAGCCAAGCAGCTCTCTTCTTGGGCAACCTGCATCTCCAGTGCTCTGAGGAGCAACTGGAGGTTCTGGCCCAACTCCTTGTGCTGCCTGGTGGTTTTGGCCCAGTCAGTAACTGGGGGCCTGAGATTTTCACTGAAATTGGCACAATAGCAGGTAGGGAGGCTGGGCCACTGCTGTTGCTAGTTGTCAGGGGTTGGTTTCCACACCACGGGTGGACTGGGTGGAGGACTGCTCTGGAATTCTTAAGGTGGGAGTCTGAGAAGGCGTTTAGGTAGGAGGTTGGAGATGTGTTGGAGAAGGTCTATGTTAGGGTACTTTGGGAGTAGTTGGAGGAGAAGTTCTGTAGGTTTGAAGAGAAAGGAGAAGACCAGTATAAGACAATGTTTGGATGCCCATCCTACTTGCTTCAACAGCTGGGATCCCAGACCTTGCTCTTTCAGCTCTGCTACGGGAACAGATCCAGGGCCTCACCCCTCTTGCTATTTCTGTCATCCCAGCTCCTAAATTTGCTGTGAGTATTGATGGACTGGGGTCTGGAGTAACCACAAGAGAACCAGGGCCCAATGGGGGCTACAAGGGATGCACCAATTCCTGCCCCCACCCCCAGGTGGTGTTCAGCCCCACCCAGCTATCTAGTCTCACCAGTGTTCAGGCTGTGGCTGTCACTCGTGAGCAAATGGCCTTTCTGAGTCCTGAGCAGCGACGAGCAGTTGCATGGGCCCAGCATGAGGGGAAGGAGAGCCTGGAACAGCAGGGTGAGTTCCCAACTGCACAGCTTGACCCTCCAAATCCTGACCCAGAATCTGACCCCTAACTTGGTGCTGGTCTGGTTCATAGAACCCACTCAGGGAGATCCCTGGAGTGAAGGGGTCTACAGGCAGATAGTTTCCAAGTATCAATGGCTCTTGAGGAGCAGAGTTATGATATTCTTTCCATTCTCTGTATCATTATAGGTCGAAGCACAGGCTGGGGCCTCCAAGACTGGTCACAACACTCCTGGGCCCTAGCGTTGACCATCTGCTTCCTTGGCAACCTGCTATGAGCCTGTCTCTACAGTTAAAAAGAAAGACTGTTGGGAAAGAAACTTTAAGTAATAATGAATAAAGTGCAAATGGAAGTGCATCCTAATTATCCTCAGGAAGCTGATGAGGAATATGCATAAAATGCTAATGCTTTCCACCTACCTGAGAATCAGTGTTCCTGGCGTGCCATATCTGGAGTCTCTCTCCATCATAAATAACCCCACTGCCTCTTTTCCTTTCTTGGAGGCTAATCCCTCCTCACCCCACGATTAGAAATAACACAGACAGCTGGAGCATAGCAAGGAGTCTTTACTAGGACGGGGCGGCGGGGGGGGGGCAGTGGGGGGGTGGTATCCAGGGCAAGTAGAATGGACCACCATTAGAATGGGCAGAAGTTCTGGTTCTGGAGATCTTGAGTCATCTGCTGGGGACGGGGAGTTAATGCTTGTTGTGGATGAGAGGTGGAGGGATGCGGATATCCTGGCCTCTCTCCAGACGCCGTTCACAGTCAATCAAATAGTTTACTCCATCGATGACCAGCTGTACCAGCTCCACCTGAGGGACACTAACCCTTGATCTTTGCTTCCTACAACCTGAGTTTCTTCCTTTAGCACTGATTTGCCTGCTCTGGGAACTCATTTCCAGTTGCCTCCCCACTCAATCTGAATTTCATTTCAGATTCTATTACATTCCTGAGGCTCACCCTCATATGTCAACCCCCACAGACCTATACCTCTCCTCACTCTAATCTCTAAGGATCTCACCTCTGACTTGCCCAGTCGGTCCAAATTAGAGATGTCAAAGACGCTGCCTGTAGCAGCTGTGTCCACTCCTCCAGTACCACGCTTTTGGAGTCTTAGGTTCTCCAGGATCTTTGGGAAGCGGCTATCCTGGAGGTGCGACAGAGATTAGGGGCAGGGTCAATAGTGCAGAGACTGGTCCTACCTGAAAGACAAGTCTGAACCTACCTGAACCTGCTCAGAGCTGTTTCCCCTGACCCTTTAGCCACAATGTGTCTGGCTCCTTTCCAAAGTGCCCACTCCCTCCCATCCACACATAGCCACCTTCCTCACTCACACCCCTCTCTAACCCCACAACTCCTTTACTTTGCTTAGCAGGGGCAGTTTGATGTGCACTCCTGCCCGAAGTCCAGTGCCCAGGTTAGACGGACAGGTCAAGATGTATCCCAAACGCTCATTCCACATGAACTCCCAGCCACGCTCCTGGATCAGCCGCTCCACCTGAGTCCACAAAAATCTCTGTTAGTGAAAAGTCAGGGATATGTGGACCCTCCCCTAGCTAGACCCACAGGAACTCTAGAAATGTGTCTAGAACCAGAAACTTGGGGGGTGAAAGAATGACACTGCTGGGTTTTTTTTTTTTTTTTTTGGTGGAAATGGTTTGTTATTATCATGCATACAAGGTAATTTTCATGTTGCAAGCCTATAATGATGAGATTGTGGAAAAGTATCTTGTGTATGGAAGAAGAGAAACTTGAGGGAACGATGCATTAAGGATGATCTAGCGAAATGAACGAACGGAGGTGGTAAACTGAACTAAGAAAAGATTGGTTATTCAATGAGCTCCTCTGCATGCACTGATTATCTTTGCTTTGCTAATGAGCTGAGAGCTTGGAAGGGTTCTTTCAGACAGAAAATGAGGGTGTAGGCTTTGCAACAGGAAGAGGCAAGAGAGCCTTCTGTTAGCTGTGGAAAGGGCACATGTGAGAAAGCAGAGAGAAAGGTGAAAACAGTGCAGAAGAGCTGGACTCATAGTTATGTCTGTGTGTGAGAAAGGTGGGCAGTGTGGGAAGGGTGTTTTTGTTCTACTTAAGCATCCTAATAATGAAAATGACTGTTAGAGTTAAAGAGATAAGGGATCTGCCAGAATGATGGAGGTGAAGACCACTACCTATTCATAGTTCAGAAAGAACCATGGCACAGATGGATATCTTAGATGCTGAACAAGGGGAAACTTTTCCATCTAGAATAATAACAGCAGTTAACACTTATTGAACTCTTACTATGGGGTGGGGCACTTTACATGCATTATCTCATTTAATCTCAACAACCTAAAATGTAGGAAGTCTTATTATCCCAATTTTACAGATGAGAAAATCAAGACATATAATTTAAAAAGTACTTCCCTACCCACTTATAGTCAGAATATGTTATCTATTACTTGCCAAAAACAGTAGAAACTTCCCAGCTAGAATCTAAAAGGAAGAGGAGCTCTCTCTGTTTACAAGTCCAAAATAGAACTGTATATATGAGAACATGCAATAAGAACTGGGTTCATGGGGATTTCTAATCTAGAATTGCATGTGGAGACCCAATCCACATAGATTGAGGATTCAGTTCAACCCCTCCTGTAGTGCCACACATTCTGGAACTTAAGCCATTCCATCCTCCACCTTCCCCGGTCTCTCTCTCGCTCTCAGCTTAAAACCTAGACATGATACTTTAGCAAGAACAACAGAATCCAGAGTCAAGGCCTCCCTTGGCTCAGAACTAGGTGGATACATTAGAATCATGAACACACCAATCTCTCACTCCCTACATGGATCCAGGCTCATACTTTTCCTTATCTGCACACTTTACCATCCCACACCCACACCCCAGGCACTGACCCACCATCTCAGTTATCCCTTCTTTGCATTATCTGGCAACTGCTTTATTTGCTTCCTTAGATTCCTGACATTCTCTCTCTCTTCCTATTCTTAGGGTGACCATATATCCTGGTTTTCCCTGGACAGTCCTGATTTATACCTATTGTCCTGGAGTGACTGATCATGATCCCTTTCACTATCAAAAGTGTCCTGGGTTGGTTGATAAACTATATGGTCAATCTACTTATTCTAGTTTTTGATTTTTCCTTATGTCCTCCCACCTAGTTCCCTTATACATTCTTCTCCAACCTCTTTGAGGCCTCGGCAGAATCTTTCAAACACTTTCTTCATGTTGCCACCCTTCTCCATGGAGATGACCCGTGTATGATCCTCCTCATTCACCCAGATCAAGAAGCTCTTCTCATTGTTGTGCCTGAGGGCAGGAGAGGGAGGGACAGGCATCAAGAGGCAGGGCAAGAATTGGGGGAGATAGAAAAAAAAAAAAAGACACTTATTGGGGCATGGGGACAAAAGAGGTAAGGTAAGTCTCATACCAGATTCCACGAGCATCTGGCCAGTCTCGAGCCATTCCTGCTGCAGTCAGCAGTGGGGATACAGGCTTATCAAATAGGAAGTGGTCCTGGAGAGAGTAAAGGGATTTGGGTTAAGAATCCTCACAGTAACCCCTGGGCCTCTCAGAGCCCATCTATCTCATCTGGCCCAGCCTCCCAGCTGACTCTTCTCTTCAGCTGCTCCCCTCACCCAACTCCCTGTCAAGGCCCCTCACATCAATAAGCTGCTGCTGCTCAGCCTCTGTCATCTCACTGAGCCGATAGTAACGCCCAGCCAGGTCACCCTTCAGGCCACTCAGTGCATCCACCACAACACGTTCCACCTCTCGTCGCTCTGCCCGAGTGCACGCTGGAGGTAGACTGAGTCCCCGGATACTTCGGCCAGTTCTGACTCTCGAGGACAATACATACCTCTCATCAAAGTAGCCAGAACGGATCTGGGGAATAAGAGAAATTAATGTAAGTCACCAAAACACACTGGGTGGGAGCTGAGGGCCTTGGGGAAGGAGAGACCTTAAGGACTAGAGGGGTCCTCACTGCATGCATGGGAAGGAGAAGCCCACTGGGCAAGCAGTACAATTTTAGGGGGCATTATGAGCCCTCCCCCAAACTGCCCACGTTGGGGTATGGTCATTCTTATCTACCCTCTCCTCTCCGTATCTGCTGGTCCTTAAGATACCATTCTTTCCCCACACCAAGACTAAAAGCTCAGCAGTATAATGACCGTGAGTCAGGAAATAAGGTGAAGGAATTGGAGAAACAGAGTGTTGTACATAAGGCAATGCAGATCAGAAGTGGAATTTTTTTTTTCTTGTGAGGAAGATCAGCCCTGAGCTAACATCCATGCTAATCCTCCTCTTTTTGCTGAGGAAGACCGGCTCTGAGCTAATATCTATTGCCAATCTTCCTCCTTTTTTTCCCCCAAAGCCCCAGTAGATAGTTGTATGTCATAGTTGCACATCCTTCTAGTTGCTGTATGTGGGATGCAGCCTCAGCATGGCCAGAGAAGCGGTGCACCGGTGCGCGCCCGGGATCCTAACCCGGACCGCCAGTAGCGAAGTGCGCGCGCTTAACTGCTAAGCCACGGGGTAACCGCTAAGCCACGGGGCTGGCCCCAGAAGTGGAATATTTAACTCACCTTGCTGGCATCCAGGTCAGTGGTGTGTTTCATTGTTCGGGGGTCATATCCATTGTGTCGCTCTTGAATCACAGGGTCAAACAGCTCAGCAAACACCTGAGGGGGAATTAAGAGGGAAAGAGTGGTTAAGGAGAGGGAATCCCTTCCCAGGCTTTATATGTGGATTGATTTCACTGGGTCAGAAAACGTGAGTATGATGGTCCAGTCTTAAGGGGAAGTGAGGGGTCTTTAGGAGGAAGGAGCTGGGATTACTGGGAAGATGAATTGGATCACCAGGGAAACTCTGGGGGCCCCCTACCTCATAGGTCTCCTCATCTCCAGCTACCATGCCCACAGTCTTGATGAAGGGGTGGCCGGGGTTGTCCACGCCAGTCTGGATACACTGATCTAGCGTCCAACCAGTGGGTGTGGTCTTGTCGCAGAGCCGGGCATAGACTGCTGGGGTCAGGTGACTGGCCATGCAGTTGTTGTGCTTTCGGAGGTCTGGGTACTCAGCGCTAGGGAGGGGGTACCCAGTAACCATGGAGGCAGGGCACAGGGGGCCTAGACCCAGTGCAGTCAGCTGGAGCTGTCCAGTTAGCCATGTCTGGCTTTGCTCCTTGGGAGGAGGGGAGATTTAGAGGGAGTCTAAACCTTGGTAATCTCATTAGGGACTTTCAGTGTCTATTCTTTCCCAACAGGTCTAGCTTCCTCTGGCAGGCTGGCTCAATTCCCCCAGATCTGTTCGGTTCTTTCCTCCCATGAACACAACATTAGGGATGGGGGAGGGGAAAGACTAAGGAGGTGAATTCAGGAAATGGGGGAGAACAGCAGGAAAAGGAGATGGAGGAGAGCGAAAAAGATAGTTCCTGGTCTCTCAATTAGAGATTTGGACAGAGTGGGTGCAGCCAGAACTCACAGGGCCAGAGCTGGTCTTGGGGGAAGGGACTGCGGGTCACAGGTCCCCAGGAATGCTTTCCCCTTATGGTTTTGGCTTCCACCCCCACCCCACTGAGGTCTCCAGACTGTACAGCGCCTCACTCCAGAGCCTTCGTGGTTATAGCCCTTCTCTGTTGCCCAGGTCCTCATCTCCATCCCCATCTTCGTTCCCATCACCGCCTGGCCCCCGAAGTCCCCCGCGCCTCACACACTGATACCTTGGGGGATACAACCTCCGTCGTTCACTGGCAGCTCGTACAGATTCCGGGCGGAGCAGAAACCCAGCGGCTAGAGATCCAGCTCCAGCCAAAGCCAGGAGCCTGAGCCCCGGGCGAGCGGACAGCAGACGAGAGAAGGGACCAGCCATGGCTTGAGGCTCCAGCTACGGAATCCCAGAGCAGGAGCTGGAGCAAGGCAGGAACGGAAAGGGAGGATGCAACTAGGCAGACTGAAGGCCCGAACTGGGTGCGAGGCCGGAGCCGAAATGGGGACCGGAGTGGAGGCTGGAGAGGAAGTGGGAGCCGGTACCAACGACTGCAGGAGAGGCGCAATGAGCTAGCGGCGGGCGGGCGGAGGAGAGGGAGGACCAAGCCGCAGTCTCCAGGGGTGGGGCTCACGCAGGCCCCGCCTTCCCGCCTGCCGCCGCGCTAGGTGTGCGGGGGCAGAGGTGGGCAGCAGCCGCCAGGTAGATTAGGGGGACCGGACATTCACACGCCTAGGCCGGGGATGCGGGCCCACCTGGGCTAAGGCGCCCAGATTTCAGCACCAAGTAGAGGACAGCACCCAAGGGGACTAGCGAAACCCGAACACCCTTCCCCCAAGCTTCTCGGTTTAATCGGAAACCCGATTCGTCGCTCTGTGGGTGTAAAAGGGTGACATTGCCCAACCTCTTCTCTGTTTTCGGCCTGCCCCAGTCTTCCCAGGGGAGGCGGCCACGGAGAAACCACGGAATAAACACAGATACCAGAGGAAGACACCGAGAAAGCACAGAGTTAGAGGCAGACATTGGGAAAGACAACCGCTGGCTCAAGGTCACCTTTTCCTTAGAACCAGGAAGAGGACCAAGGCACGTCCCTTCATACCTGTGCTCTCCTTACAAGGTTGAGGAAGGAGTCTCTGAGAGGAATCAGGGAAATATTAACTCATAATCCATCGGTGCTGTGTTCCCCACCCCGACCTGTCCCCAAGTCTGAAACCCTGCTTTGTCCTGCTTCCACTTCTCATGATCCTCCACTTTTTTCCCCTCCTCCACCCTCCTCCCCATCCCCTACTTTACCTTTGATCTTTTACCTCGCGTGTCTTTTCCAGGCTCAGATCCGTTTGTTGTACACAGGACTCCCTCGGAGTAGCCTCTGCAAGCTTGCCTACCTGTTGGTTGCACTGGGCGTGGGGCTGGGGTTGGGCAGGGAATTGTTAGTTTCCTCTTCCTCCTCTCCTGTCTCTTCCCTCTCTGTAGCTCCCAGTTCTCCGGCTGGAGGGGAGTGTAAGGTGAGATGAAGGGTGTGGTGAGATCACTGGGTGTAGGAAGGGAACAGGCAGGCACAGGTTTGCAACCACCACATGTATTTCCTCCCTTGGCTCCCTAATGCTGTTTAATCTAGAATGTAAGGAGAAGTGGTGTCCAAGGGCATAAAGTCACCAGGGAATCTCCGCCTTCCTCTTGGTCCCCTCTCCTCCTCTCTCTCCTCTGATTTGAGAGGGACTTTGTTCCCACAGCTCCAAGTGTGACTTGGGTGTGGCTTGACATTTGTCCTGGAAGGAAGGAAAATGAATGTTGGAGCTGAAATAGAGATATGGGGCTTCATTATGGAGGGTCAGTTAAGGTGGGGTAGGCATGGTGGCATTAGTCCCTTCCCTCAGCTATCTTGGTGTACCCACAGACAGTAAGATACTTGGAAATCTCAAGAGAGAGTATTTGAGAAAGAGAAATTCCCTTCCTCTGGCCACAGTGATGAGATCTCGCCCCAGCCCTATACTCTCATTCCCTTCATTCCTCTCAGGAATCCTTCCTCAACCTTGTAAGGAGAGCACAGGTGTGAAGGGAGGCACCTTGGTCCTCTTCCCTTGTTTTCCTTTTCCTGCATTCCTCATTTGTGGGTATCCTTAGAAGCCATCCACCTCTCTTCTGGGTCCATCACTTAAACTCCTTCTTCTCCTGATAAGAGAGCAATTATCAGAGAATATCAGAGTTCTGCAGTTGGAGTGTGCTCACTCTTGGAGAGACAGAAAATGTTACCTGTGTTGTGGGGGCTCATTATCTAGGTTAAGAAGTAGCTATGAGTAAGCAAATATAATTACTTGGAATGGTGTGTATTTACCCAGATAAAGGAGGGAGATAATCTTCCAGAGCAGTAGGGTGGTTATTTGATTGAGAGAGTGGTTACTAAGATGAAAGAGGGAGGAAGCAGGAAGACAGAATTACAGAAGGAAAAACAAGACTTGCCCAGAGAAGTAGAGAAACCACTCAAGTTTGCAAAGTAGCTGCCCAAATTTGAATAATAGCTCCACTGAGCAAAGGTATGTATCTGTATTTTTCTTATTCCCTGTGAGTCCCTGATAGGCACATAATGTATTAATACTCATTTAAAAAGTTATCCCACAGCATATTGGAAGTAATTGATATATATATAGTATTTTATTTATTTAATAATACTTATCAATTATATTTAATATTTATAAAGCACTTTAAAATTACAAGGAACTCTTGTATGTATTATTTCATTGAATCGAATTGGATTGTTTCAGTGGATGACTAGAGACTGAGTCTACATTATCAGGGGGTTGGGAAGACAAGTTAATTACCTAGAGGATGGTTTAATAACTTGTTTGAAGGGTTGGAGTGGTGGAAGGGATATGAGCGTGCGCACGAAATAGGGAAGCATTTATTTCCCTTAAGGCCAGTCCTTAGAATCATCTCTATCTCATTTGGGAGGCCTTGGGGTCAGTATAATGAAGCACCTGACTGAAAAAGTGGTAAGATCCCTAAGGTTGCAGAGAAGAAACAGGGAACTTGGAACTGTGTTGACCAGGGAAACGTAAGTGAGGATGCAAGGATAACAACAATACAAACAAATACAAAATGCTTTCACATAATCAGTACCCTATGAGTTAGGTTTTTAATCCCACTCTTTTATAGTTGAGAAAACGGAGGCTGAGGGAAGTTCAGTGACTTGTACAAGGCTGTACAGCTATTAAAGGCAAGGCAAGGATTCAAACAAGTCTGGAGAGTAGAGAGCAAGCAGGGTGTGGAGATAGGACTCAACTTGTTCAGTCTCCCATGTCCATCCATTTTCTTGTCTCCTCCATAAATAAGTCTCTCTGTTTCTTCCCTTGACTTTCTGATCTGTTTCTCTTTGTCTCTGTTTTTGTCTCCAATCTCCCTTTCACTCCTCTACATCTGTTATCATTTTCAACCTACCTTAGAGAACCTACTGGATCTCTAAGGATATCATACCCGGCTGTATTTTACAAAACAAACAGAAGACTGGGTTTTGTCCTCACGGAGGTGCAATGGCACAAACTCTACTTCTCCCTCTGCATCTCGCTTTCCCCCCCTTCTTCATCTTACTGGATAGCCCCTGTCCAGAGCACGCATCTGGACTGTGGCGACGCAGTTAGAAATCAGAGGAAGGGGAGCATCAGGTTGCACTTCCTCCCCACAGCCACTAGGGGCCACTCTCCTCCGCGCAGAAGCGCCGGCCAACGCAGCCTGACTCTGTTGCCGGTGCGCGCCCTCCGCTGATTGGTGGCGCCGCAGAGAAGTCGCGCTTTGATTGGGCCGCTGTCAGGTGTCGCTGCCGGCAGGTTCGGCTGCGCGAACGCAGGGAGGCGGGTGAGTGAGGGCCGGGGGCCGTGGAGGAGTGGCTGGGGGCTGGGGGCGGTATCTGAGGGGGTGGGCTGGGTGGAGTGGGCTCGGTTGGTGCTGAGGGCAGTGGTTAGTACCGGCTAGGGGCAGCTTCAGAAAGAGACCCGGCGGAGAGGCCTCAATGTCAGCGCAGGGAGAGTGAGGCGGGGAAGGCGGGAGCGGGCAAAGGTAGTGGAGTCGGGATGGGAGAGCGATATTCGTGACTGGGAGCTGTGTGAGGAGAGGACAGGAGGGGTTCTGCGAGAGAGAAGATGGGCGTGTGAGGGTCTGCTGAGGAAAAGGGGTACTACGTGAGCAGCCGAGTCAGCAGCGGAGAGGGTCAGGATGGGGAGGTCTGTGTGAGGAGGGGTGGGAGTGGAGTCAGCGTGGAGATCAACTTGAGGAAGGGGTTGTTGCAGAGAGGAGAGAGAAGGTGAGCCTGGAGAGAGGGTAGTGTGAGGAAAGGTGGGATCTCAGGCAGTCTTTGTGGGGGATCCTTGAGGTTTCGTTATAAGTATGTTACCAAGTGTGGTGACTCATCTGAGGGTTTGAAGGACTATTTATTGCTGTGGAATCAGTGAGTGAGATTAGTTGGATTATTAATTGAATTAGTTAATCAGTGATGGGGAGGGGGGCAGTCAGTGTTGGGACTGGTTAGGGGCATGCATGAAGAGTCATTTTAGCAAGTTGGACGAAGAAGGCAGCGTGAGTGAGTTGATACTGAGAACAAGGGTATCAGCACAGTTCATCAGTGTCAGAATAAGGGTATGTGTGAAGGATGAAAAATTGTATTGAGAAGAAACTAAGGGGTCCAGTGTTGAAGGTGGGAAGGCAATAGTGTTGGTGGCCTAGGGAGTTTTACTGTGTTGGTAATATTCCTGCCTGGACTCTGTATTGATGTTTCCCTTTCACCACTGATGGAGCCCTCCATCCAGTGCATGGAGATTAAAGAAATTAGAGGACTACTGCAAGCAACCCTAAATTCTAAGGGATAAAGAAGTGAGACAGTTAACCCTCCTTTCTATTCCTTCTCCAGATCTGACTTAGCATAGGTGTTCCTGAGAAGATTGCCCACCTGCCCCTCCCTCTTACCTTACCTACCTATCTCCTCCCTCCCTCCCTCCGGTCCCTTCCTTCCTTCCTTCCGTTTTTCCTTCCTTCCTTCCTTCCACATTGATTCAAGCCAGAGTAAGACTGCCCTTTAGCCTGGTGTAGAGTCTGAAGTTTTCTTTTCTTTCGCAACAAGTATTGGGGGAAAGAGGGGCTGAGAAGAGCACAGAAAACAGGGGAGTGGCTCTTAGAACATCACATTAAACCCCAGCTTCTCCCAGAGGTACATCTAAATAAATCCTTGGTTATTACATAGCTATTTCTGTCAGGCTTCTATTTTTGCTTTGTTAACTGTGAATTTAGGCCTTTTATCTCTCTTCAGCTGCATATTTGTGAACAGACTCTCCTTCCCCATTCTATTACCAGCTCCTGTTAGAGAATTGTAATAGAATTTCAAAAACGTGACTGTCTACATTCAGTAGAAAACCAAGAAGGACTTAGTGGAAGAAAGGGTGAAGGGTTAGGAATCATAGACATGAGCGAAAGCTCCTGCTTCAGAGAAAGGATAAAGAATACAACAAGGGCCGGCTCCGTGGCTTAGCGGTTAAGTGCGCGCACTCTGATGCTGGCGGCCCGGGTTCGGATCCCGGGAGCGCC